CAGTCGCTGGTGACTGATCGACCTCCTCTCTGGCGTTACCCTTTGAAGGGGCAACAAGCTCGGATTTCACATTGTCATCACCCCAAAATTTCACGGCGTCCTAGATTGCATGAGCATCCCAAACAACCCCAGGATACTCACGGCGAAACCAGTTGCGGATAGAGGCAAAGTTGTCCCTCAACAGCTTCTTAAGTTTCACATCATCTGCCTTCTTGAATTCATCAGAGTCGAGGAATGTGGCCTTGGTTGCTTTAGCCATGTTGTACAAATCAGCTTCGAGGTTGTCGTCCATGAATGCCATATCGCCCTTAAGCTTTATCACTTCATCGTTTAAACTTTTCTCTCGCTCAGCTGCCTCTAATGACTCCTTTCAAAAATGCTCGGCGTCTTCCCTCGCCCGCTTCTGCTCCTCCCGCACAGCAGAGAACTCGGAGGCCTCGCGCTCCTTGTTTAAAACTTCCTCCAGCTCTTGCTTGAGTCCTTCGTGTCCCTCCTTCAGTTGCTCCTAAAGCTGAAGTATCTTGGTGTTACTGTCGTCCAGGTCACTCTAGAGGTGGTCGTTGTGCAATGCCAATTGGTTTATTCCAAATTGAGTCTGCAAGAATAGCCAAATTAGAGGAAGGTAATGGCAGAATATGTGCTTCGTAGATATCATGCTCACCGCAAACAAGCAGCGTGCGGTAGCACCCGCCAGGTGTCTGGTGTCCGACTTGAGGACATGAGTACCCGCCACAACCCACACGGGTATAATCACTCGGGATAGCGAACTCCTCAGAAATAAGATGCAAAGCCCGTTTAACTGCATCATTGTGTACGGTCGTGTTGGGAGAAAAGGATACAGTCGCCGCAAACTCTATCATCTTCTGCTTTTTCTTACTCGCATAAGTAGTGATAGGGTCTTAAGGAGTTTTTTTGACAAATACGCTCCCCGAGGACCGCTTGTTATTAAGAGATGCAGCTTCCAAGGACTGCTTCCCAGACTCGTGGCTAGAACCTGCCTCTGTAAACTTGAGCGCCCTGGAACGAGACACAACAAGCTGCATCTAAGCAGGTGGGTGAGGAGCACTAGTCTAAGTCTCTGCCTGGTCGACAGGAACCGGGACAGCTGCGGCTACAGAAGAGACTACGTCGGGCTTCGGCGGCCTCGCCGTGGATGCACACCGACAATTCCCTGCAAAAGCAACCCATAAGTAAAGGCATGAGCAAACTTCATGGAAAATAACCAAGGAAGAATTCACTGACCGTGAAAGCGCCAAACTATATCTGGCGTGTTATCATGCCCTTTAGGAGAAAGATGAAATTGAACGGTTGACATTATTCGTTTGAGAAGGTCTTTAAAGGAGGCAAGAGAATCAAGGTGGGAGTTCCAGTCCTTCTTATCGCCAACCGCGAACCCAGTCAACGACTCTACGCCACCAAAATACCATTTCCCAATGTGACGAGCAAAGAAATATTCTTTAAATCAGGGGGAATCTAACTTGGGTGTGTCGTAGACAAATCCCGCATGGGACTTCCTCCTGTAGCATGACCAACAGTTGTCTGAACCGCGCATGGTATACAAGAGTCGGAAAGCATCAAATGAAGGCTCCATCCCAATCTTTTGTAGGCCTCCCGAAAAGTTATGGAGTGGAAAATGATATCGGGAGAAAGACGCCCAAGTGTGTACTTGAGGTGCAGAATAGTTTGGGTCAATATGGGATCAAGTGGGAATTGAAGTCCCATCCTGATATGCTCCACATGGATGGGAATCCAACCGCCGGGACAAGAGGCGGATCGCCCGTCAAGAGAAGGAGCCGCATAATCCCACTCAGGAGGCAGACCGTGATTCTTTAATTGATGGAGAACTTGAGACGATCGATAAGCAGCTACATATGGCGGTCCTTGTTTGAACACGTGTGCGGGTATTTCTTCTCCCTCCCACATATTCTCGTGCAAGCGCATGCGGTATGTATCGTCAGCAACCGCCAGAAAATGTGCTATGGGCGGTCCCACGGAAATGGTAGGCGGAGATTCAAGAGCAAAGTCGCCAAACTCAGTGTGGTGGATGTGCGCTTCATTAGTGTCTTCGGATGACAACGCAATCACGGGAACACCATGAGAAGACTCACAATCCATCTCAGATAAATCCCTCGTAAAGCTAGGGAAGTCCCAATATCGGTTAATGCATTCCCATCTAACCCTAAAAGGTCAAAGTTAGGACCGCCTAGATTTTACCTAAACTCGCCAAAATTCTCGTAACCGTATACAAGGTCAATATTCTCCAAATCCCATTCTATATCAGATATACCAAAAGGTGAACAAATTTCATGAATACCTTGGGTGACTAGTTTAGTCCCGACAGTAGTGCTGCTGGATCCACCGCCAGTCTTAGAGGACGAGCGATGAGGAGTCGTGTCGGCGGTGGAAGTCCAAGCTGTGACGGAAACAGTGTTGTGGGAGCATCGCTCGATAAATTCTTGTTCTGACTATCTGAGGGAGTAGTGTCCTGAGAATCAATCGACATCTTCGCCTTTCGCCTCTTCCTTTTCGCTCACTTTTGAGCTCGGCGTAACTCCAAAACATATGTGGCTCGCTTCGTAGAAAGGAACGGATGGCTCTGAAGGTAAGAAGAAAGGGAAAAATTGAGAGCAACGAGCGATCTTTGCTTCGGGTCATAAAAATTTCAGAGTAGAAGAAGGGAATGTAAAAGTGAAGAAGACGAGCAATCCGCTCGTTTAAATAGAAGCGAAAAAGCAGGGCAACAGTGAGGTGACGGTTCGGTGACCGAGAAAAAACCTACTCTACTAATTCAAAAAGCGAGCAGTTGAAAAGACGATCATAGTGCCCGTTGTTAGGGCTCGAAATTCAAATCTCGCCACATGTACAATAAAGGGAAAAAGAAGCGTCTAGTTAATAGGTGGTTGAAGTCAAGTGGGACAACTTCATTTCCTTGGCAGGTCATCTTAGTCTGTCAAGCGGCAAGGGGCAAAGTATAGGGCAACAATTAATTGGAGGAGTAACCGTTCAACACGATAGAAAGACACTTATAGCCGCCAAAACCCAAAGATTTTCCTGTCTAAGGGGCAATTGATGGGCCCACGTGTAGGAGTGGTATCGTGCCTAAAGCCCAAGGAGAAAGGCCAGCAGGTCCAATCCAATAAGGAGACCGACATGGGGTTAAGGAGGTTAGGCAGTCGCCTGGAGACAAGACAGAAGGATCGTCTGACATAAAGCAGTGATGGAGACAGGGAGGAGATCGACTAAGATTTGCCTCGGAATAAATAAGAAAGCATTAATTACCGCCGTAGACGATTCTATACGAAATAGGGTAGGTTTAGGGCATCTGACATAGCTAGGGATGGCAACAAAACCCGAACCCACGGGTACCCATCCGACCCAACCCGGTCAATGCGGGTAAAATCCGTGTTGACGGGTTTTGGGCCGGGTTTGGGTTTAAACCCGTTCACTATTCACCGGGTTGGGTTGGGTTTGGGTTTAGGTAAACCCGACCCATGGGTACCCGGCCACACCCATATAATTAATTTTCTCGGTATATTTAATATTCTAAACAACTAATCTTATTTATGTTTGTGGAGACATGTCTATTTTTTTTTTTTTCTAATTGTGTAGAATGAAGTTGATGTTATCGAGTGGAGAGTGAAGAAACTTAATTGAAAGGAAGAAGCTTTCAATTAATCATGTTATTTATGAATAATTTGTGATTTGCTTCAATTTTCTTGAGTTTTCTAGATTGGTGTTGAACAATTTGTATAGTTAATTTGTGATTTGCTTGAATTTTCTAGAATGGTGTTTTATATATGGATAATTTGTATTGAGAGATTGAAATTTGACTTTAATTTTGATAGGAACTTGTTATTGTAAATTTTTTACAACAAAAACCCGTGGGTACTCATGAACCCACGGATACCCAGCGGGTTGGGTTGGGCTTGAGTTTTTCAAACCTAGTGAGTTTTACCCCGGGTTTTTTTCATGGATAAACTCATGGGTTTGGGTTCGGCAAAACCCGACCCATTGCCATCCCTAGACATAGTATTTAATGCCCTGAACTCATCTCTAGTTGAATATAAATACCACATGAGAGCATAGATGGTAAACTCAACTAACCTCTCTAAACCTAACTCATATTCTTTCTTCTCTCTAACTTAATATTCGGAGAATGTCCTGGACAAGGACAACCGCTCACAAACCGTTGTTTCGCAGGTTTCATCCCTCACCAAAAACAAACGCCTCACTTGTGTTCCACATGAACCGCATAGTACTTTCTAGGCTCAAACAATTATGTTCCAAGTTTAGGATTCCACTTCCCCCTATAAATTTACTTGCTTTGCAGTTACTGGCGGCGATGTCTAATTGCATAACTTTGGCTATGCAGGGGATCTGTTGCCCAGAACTACTGCAGCTGTGCCTGCCTCGTCCCAACAATGAGAAATAGAATCAACATTGCAGAACCTCATAATATAACGACAATAACTATAACTAATATATAAACAACCAAAAAGGTAGATTCGAATAGTTATCTACATAAACTGGCTTTGGCTTTTGGTGGAAGGAAACACCCTCACATTCTTCCCCTTTCAAACCGAAAAAAAACCATTTACATTTTCATTTCCATCCCCATTGTTACCGTCAATGGCCAAAGTAACTTGAAAGACAAAATCCCCTGTTTCCTCAAAGCGCATTCACCAGAATCGACTCAGCTGCCACCACCGCTGCACCGGCAACCGCCTTTATACGACTAGCTAACTCCCTATACTCCTAATTATCCAGACCCAAATGAATCATCCCCTTCATCATCTATCTGCATACCACAAAATACCCACTCCGTCAGGCACTCTGCAACAAAGCTTCAGTCTTTTAAAGCACCACACGGAATCAATTAGAGATCTGGTTAAACAAGGAATATGGAAAAAAACCAACATGTACATCACAAAATGCTGAAGACTGTTCACGTGCATTGGATCTTCGGTTGCGTCTGAAGCCAACCCCATTCCCTGGCCTGGCTAACCAAAGCCAAAACCTTCACTGCCCTCATGAATAGCGAGCAGCATACGTTCTTGGAGCTGTTCTTTTGAGGTATACTCTGGAACATCTAGTTGGTTGAAGCTGGAAAACCCGATCAACATGTTAGACATGGGTGCAAAAAAAAAAAAAAATAAATAAATAAAATAAAATAAAAAATTGGAACCAGACAGATTAAGAACCACTGGCATATTGTATACAAACCACGTGTGAGCTGAAGGCAAGCGTTCAGGAGCTCCATATGCTTTGTGTATCTGGAACCTTTGAGGACCAGAGATGCCCTGCAATGCCTTGAAACCTTCCAGTGGAACCTGTAAAAAACATCCTCGGCCGTTTCATTTCTCCAAATCACTAGGCTAGGAGATTTAAAAGGAAAAACACATCACACCTGCAACTGGACCAGACTTTTTTTCAGACACCAGTGCCCAGTGTGATACACAAACATTACCTTTGATGTTCCTGTGACAAATTGTAATAGTCTAGCCATGTCTTCTTTGTTGAACCCTTGAACTACCTCCCAGAACCACTGAACAACACTGGAACCACCACTATATCCAGTATACTCTGTATTGGCCTTCAGATCTTCCACTGCAACAGTATAACTTACTAAGTTGATCATAGGGGAAAAAAGAAGAAGCAAACCACATGGTGCTAGTTACATGGAGCTCAGAGTCAGAGTATATGCATAGAGAAAGAAAGTCAAACTCACAGTCAATTTCAGGAAGTCCACTGATCAGTAGCTCCAGCTCCTTGTCATTAAAAATTGAAATCAAATCCCGAGGAATCAATTCATTGAACCCATCTAGGAAGGAGTTTATCTGAGGCCGGATGGCATTTGTCAATATATGGTCCGCAACAAGGTCCACATACTCGTGCTTCGTCTCTTCTGTAACTCTTATATTCCTCCCTCCAGGTTTAAGCTCGTAATCAGTAACCTACCAACATAACAGAAGAAGAAAAAAGAACTTAGTAAATGGCCGAAGCTAAGGTGAAAGGAATGATACAAGACAAGAAGAACTGCCACCAGCACTCAGGGCCTGAGAAGGTAAATCTCAATATGTTTCTGCATACTATGCCTACCTCGTTTTTCTCATAAAGGATGTGTTTCTCCTCATCAGGATCCATGCTGAATGTCAGGTCCGGTATATCACTCACGTCATTCTGGGAAAGACAATTTGTCATGCCAAGTTGCTAACCGAAACAAACTTCACTTTCAAAGGTTCATAGAACAAGGAAAATGGAAAACAAGAAAGCAAAAATCACTCCACAAACCTCTAGCATCCACTTTAAATTCTTGTAGTAATCAGGATCCACAGCCTCTATGTCATGGTAAGTCACCTTTACACCTAGAATGTGCTTATAGAAAGACCGGGTGAAATAAACATCCAAGAGCTGGCCATCAAACAATGCCTTTGCAACCTGTTTCATAAACAGCAAATGTAAACTTATCAGCAAGCCAGTGGTGCCATAAGAGTATAAATTTGATTATACAAAGTTCAGGGATTAATTACCACACGGCCCACGAATCTGAAATAGGAAAGATGCTCAGTTTGATAGACAGAATTTGGATTTGGCTGGAAAGTGGCGTTGTTTCCCACAGTAGTGAAAAGCAATGCTCCCTTATCAAAAATAACCCTTGACAATATTTGATACCATTCCCTAGTCAGGCCACCAGCATCAATGCCCTCTTCCCCTTGGAACTGCACATTCAGTCGTCCCCTGAGATCCTGAGTAGGCCGCATCCTCAGCTGATTGTAGGAATCCTCCAACACATATGCCCTTCGTACACTGACCCGCAGTGGACCAGACAGGTGTTGCTCATGCTGTTGCCTTATCCTTGATCGAAAATATGATTTTTTGTTGTCAAAGTCTATTAATCTTGGTGCCTTCAGCATCATAGAAAGTGACTTCTCCAGCAATGCAGGGCTCTGTCTAATAAATGCATTCAGAAGTCGACGATGCTTCTCAGCAAACCGAGCAAATGTCACTGAACCATCGAGCTTTTTATGTGTATCCCCCGCCCCCGACTCTTTGACTTCACCAGCTGTTGTTGTGTCAGTAGCATGATGATCTTGCTGCACGGAAGAAGTATTTGCTACTTGAATCTTCTCACACAAAACAAAGAATGCTTCTATGAAAGGCAGGAGTCTTTGGGTTCCAGGAGGAAGAGGAGACGATGAGGAGACGCTCCCCTGTACATGATCCCCAAAAGTGGCACTGCTAGAAAGAGTCTTGTTCAATGTGGCCTGACCTAGGTGCATTTCTGTCACACTGATACATTCACTCAATTCGTGCCATAATGGCTCAAGTGCAATGTTTAAGTTCAACATCGATGCATGCTCCTCCTGCTCTCCGCCTACATTCACAGCTGCCGGACCACTAGGCGAGGTGAGTGAACTAAGAACCTGGAGGACACGCAATATTGCTGCTCCAGCCATAGACCCAGAACTAAGACCTAGCATTTGAGTCTTCCTCAGCGTAACAAGTTCACTGACAGCTGAACTACTCAGACCATGTGCTAAATCTGAAAGCTCCGAGGTAAAGAACTTGCGAAGAGGGGAAGCAACTGATGCCAACTTCTTCAGTACTTCTCCAGAAAGCATGTACACCTTATCTGACAGCCTGGAGTAGATAACAGCAAACATGTTTCAGAAGATATTACAAAATCATCATTCATAAACAGTAAACTAGCAAGAAAAAAAGAAACCCACCCCTCGTGACCAAGAAGGCTACTCATATTCCGCAAATCAGATCTCGGCAACCGCATGAGAATACCGAGTGCATCAGTGCTCTTCTTTCTGTTGGAAGTTGATAACTCAGCAACTACAGCTTCATCTCCCTGAGTAGACTCTGGTTCCGCCTGATCATCTACTTCCCCACTTATTAGCTTGCGGGATTCCATATTTGATGCTGCTGTGTAAACTACCACTTGAAGTAAGCCCATAACCTGTGTCAAATTTTTTATTTGAATGGCTTTTAGATTCAGATAATTAGCGGGATCAAGGGTGAATATTTTCAAAGAAGTTGATTAAAAAAGAGTTTCGTTTAGCTATAAAGCCACCTTTTTCAAATGTGTATTCGTTCTTCAACTCAAACACACCAAGGACAACAAGTGATCACTCATACCTGCTCAAGGTGTGCAGTGCTGCGGAAAAACAGAGGTCGATCTAAAAGCTTCAAGAACAGAACCAACGGAACATCATCTGTATCTCCACAAGGATTGCACAAAGCACCGCCATCCTCAAGTTTCCCTTTACCTTTGTCCAGCTTAGAGAGCAGAACATTTGTAACAGATTCCTCCGGCAAGAGAGAGGGGTCCAAGTGAAATAACATATTGGCAATTGATGAATGGTTTGTTGCCAAATATGTCAAAATCTCAAGAATGCGACACGACACCAAGGGAGGTAAACCTGTCAAAAGACAAAATCAAACCAACAGATTGTTTGAGGAAGAAATCCATCATTAGTAATATTATAACCATGGAATAAAGAGAAATATAGTAACATACCATCCAACAACTGTGATCGGCCATAAACCACATTTGACTGGCAGCCATAAAGCCTCTGGGAGTTAAGCATTGCTAATCCACTGAGTGATCCATCTGCTTCAGGTTTAATCATGTCAACCAAAAGGCGAACTAGAGTTGCCCTTGTAGAACTATGTGCACAAAGGTTTAACAGAAGCCTCTGTAGAAGTCCTTTCCCCAGGGGCTAACCGACATAAGAACAAAAATCATCAAGTTAGGAGACAATAATCTATATTAAAATAAGTACGGCGACTATAGTACCTTCATGATGCATATACAAAATAGCATATAGTAAGAATAACAAGCAACCAAAATTTCATGATCGTTAACAAATTTGGCAATTGAGAGTGTTACATGACATAGATTCAGTATACCTCGCATTCTACAAACACATGAGAATGCCTTCCTACCAACACAGGTAAGTAGGTTCAGACACGTATAGACATATGGGCTTCAACGCAGAGGTGAACAGGTTAAAACTGAATTATAAGTCCTTGAAACATAAAACCATAGAAACAGACATCCTAGTGCAATTATAATGACTCATTTAGACAGCCTATGATGTGAATCACGGAGTGCACTACCCTTCCATGAATGTAACCGAATATTACAACGGGCAGAATGCAGATCAAACATTTAAAATTTGGCAGTTAGATTTTCGAGAAAGTTTATAGGTAATGACGGACCTGTGCCAATCTTAAGAGGCGGATCAAAGCCCTCAGTGCATTTGCATCCAGCAAAGGCTCGCCCTCAATTTCCTTAACTCTCATGCCATCTGCAACAGTAGATGTTGCTCTCCGGCCTATAGAAACTCCAACACCTCTATCCATCACAGTCTGCCTGTCGAATCCTAAGCCATTTCTTCGACCACTAAGCCTATGGCTGCTACCAAACAGACTCCGGGCCTGATAGTGACTCATTGCCCTGTCTCTTAGCATTTGGGCTTCAGCAAGCAATGGAGAAGGCAGTGCCGATAATACTGCTTCTGAAGAGGTCAAAAGTACCTACAGCAGAAAAAAGAATCTGTCAATGTACATCAGCGGGAACCAGATGGAAGAGCTTTCTGAATAGCATACCTCTTCACGTAAATCAGCGGGAAATGTAGCAATTATTGAAGCGTTATCCATGTCCACCGGCTGCCCTTCAGCTTGTTGTGCAATCCTCTGTGCTCTTTGTTGTGCTAGAACTTCCGCCTGAATATCTGGAGGAAGAGCAGCCAAGAACTCGGGATCAATATCATCAACTGAAGGTGGAGCATAAGCTGGAGGAGGCACAGATTGAGCTTGCTGGGAAGCAAGAACTTCTGCCCGCAAATCTTCTGGTAGTGCCTCCAAGAAGGTCGGATCAATAGCACTTGCACCAGAAGCCTCAATATTTACGCTATTCTGATCAGTTTGATTAGCATCTGGAGCAGCTGATGTTGGTTGTTCTGGGACAGGGAGAGATTGCTCAGATAGATTTCCACCAGCATCAACACCATTCATATCAACATCAGCCCCAGTATTATCTACGTCTAGTCTCCCAGAAACAGGACCCAAAGGAACCTGATCATGAGACTGTCCATCTTCCCTTGACACACCATCATGATCCACATTTGGAACAGGAGCAGGAATCTCAAGATGAGATGGTGAGTTTTGACCACCTTCATGTTGCAGAGAAGGACAATGTTGTGCTGATGAGTTGACAAGCTCTGGTGCTGCACCTACTTGATTACCTGTAATGTTATCACCTTCACCTGTCTCCATTTGCTCATCTTGATTAGGTGTACTACTCAGAGAAAATGCTTGATCCGACATACCTTCCTGCACCAGTTGAGGCTCATCTGCATCTTCAACAGAAGCATGCTGAGTGACTTGCTCTTGGCCATGAATGCTTTCAACTGTTTCTTGATCAGACTGATGATCAGTCGCTCCATTTAAAGTTTCTTGTTGATGATGTTCAGATTGCGGACTCCTGGGATTGTTACCTTCCATCACTGCTTGGCCATCATTAGACTGAGGGTCTGTAGAGGGCTGATTCTCCTGCATCTCAAGATTCTGAGACTCCCTTTCGGCAGAGCTACCTGCTGGAGCAACGCAGTGCAACTGGGACAGGAAGTGTTCCTCCACTGCTTGTGCAATTACAGCAGCTTGGGCACCTGCTTGTGGCTGACCATCATCAGTCCAACGTCCATCACCTGGCCCTCTTCGGCCTTGTAGGTGTGAAGAGTCCATTCCAACAGAATAATCAGTCAAAGGTGGAGGAGCTGCACTGCCCAGCCGATCACCATAGAGATTGCTGGGTACATGATCATATGGAAGTACTGGTGCATCAAACATATAAAAGTGAGTGACATCAAAACCACCAGCTGAGAGAGCTTCTAAATCTCTGGACAAATGCCCCCCTGATGACCAAATAGACACAAGATCTCCAGACTGGGATGGTCTCAAGAGCAAAGGATGCTGAAATCCATTGACTTCTGAGACTGATCGTTCAAAAGACCTACCACTCTGTCGCCGCCGTTCGAAGCCTAAAGGCCTACGGAGGCCAAAAAGATCATCCACATTCACTCCATCAAAAGGTTCAGCTGCAACATCAATCAGGCCACTTCCACCACCACCAGGTTGACCAAGCACCTGCAGACGATCTAAGCCATCAAGGGCTTCCCTCCACCTCACCTCTATGACACGGTTCTCATGAAAATCATCATCCTCTTCATCAATCATCTCATCATTGTAATCATCACCTAAGCCAGTCTCATCATGGTCTTCCACATCTGTGTCAGCCAAAGACATCATTCCACCACCATCTTCAGCGATGTCTTCATCCTCATCCTCCCCATCATCATCATCTTCATCATCCTCACCTTCATCAGCCATGTCATCGTCCTCATCGCCAATATCATCATTTGCCCTATTCTCAACACGAAAAGTCATTTCTATTTGATCTCCATTGCGCAAAACTCCCTCTCCTTCCATTGCGCCATTCATAAAATCCATCCCCATCTCCAGAGAACGATTAGTTGCCTCTTCCACTTCGATTCTCATGTCTTGCTCTCCAGACTGATCAACATGTGCATCACCATTACCCTCGATTTCTAAAGTTCCTTGATTGTTCTGTTGCTGTTCTTCGGCCCCTTCCTCACCTTGAACATCCTGGGCATTGCTGGTATTCTGATTACACCCTTCGATCTCAGCAGCTGGCCTAGTTGTCTCAACATCCAGCCTTTCGTTTGAAATTAGAGTTTTCTTCTTGTTCAGACCCTCAGCTTTAAGAATTTGATCATTGGAATTAGCAGCTCTTGTTAGACTTTCCAAAGATTTAAGTAGAAGATTTACAACCTTGGGAGCATCAGGATGATCAAGGTCAATCACTTGAAGAATGCCAGTAAGACAGTGCACAATACCACCATCTATCATGCTTTTTGCTATATCCGGAGAGCATCCAGACCCAGGTAAGGTGCTTGAGGAAGCGTTCTTGGACAAAACAGAATAAACCAAATCCGCAAATGCAAAAATTACTTCGTCAGGTAATAAAAGGCTTCTGTTTGAATTGCTTTCCAAGTTTGAGAAGGAAGACATAGCTTTCACAAGCTCATTAATCACTCTCCGTCGCCCCTCACTAGATCGGCCACAAAGAACTACCAGGAACCATGAAGCTTTTTCTGACAACTTGCCTCTCCACTCATCAGGTCCTGCCGATTTATCAGTAGACACTGGAAGCAACCGATGCAAAACATGGTGGATTATTCCACCATGGTCAGGGTTATCCGGCTGGTTGGATGACCGAAGTTGACAAAATTCAGAATCCCTTCTCAGAATGACCCCAACTGCATGCAAGTACATAAGAAGAATATCACTCAACAATTTGAGGACAAATGTCACCTTTGCCAGTGCAGCAGATCTTTCAGATTCCGATTCCACCTTCCGTGTCTCTTCAACCTTGGTCTTTCCCTTCACCTTGCTGGTGGGTTCATCAACTTCCATTGAAATTGATTCACCCCCAACTTCAAAATGGTTTTTCGGTAATGGGTACTTCAAGACTATGTCAAGAAGCTGATCAATAACTTGAGTTAGATTGGAAGGAATCTTTTTGTGGCCCTTGACACATTTAATTGAACTTTCATGAATCCTAGGTTCAGATATCCGCATAGGTTCTTCAGCACCTGATGCTTTCGATTTCTCTTTTTCCCTGTCTTTTTCCTTTGACAAAACCAGTAAGGTCCGCCCGCCAGAAGACTCCACCAGACAAACTGCAGCTGCGGCTTTCATGAAAACCACGGGATCTCTAGAAATAACAGGAGCCATTGATGTCAAAAATGTCCGTGGTGAAATTCGACCAGCATGCCTGCTCCCACTCAAAGCTTGTCTGATTTCCAACTCCATGGCTGTTTGTAAAGTCTGAGGATCTTCGAGAAGATGACGGACGATTGCAGATGCAACAGTGTCATATCCAGGAAAGAAACAACTTCTTGGAAGACTGAAAATAGCAGCTAAACCTCCATTTTCGAGAAATTGCAGAGACAGAGTATGAGTTTTTGTCAAGCGTGCACATAACTGCAGTACAGCCTGCATGATGACAGCTGGAACATGCTGCTTCATCAGGTCACAAGCAATTAGCAGAACTTTTTGACTCTCTTCAATGGTTAGGTAACCAGTAGATTTTCCCAATATTTTCTCAAATACAGTGGCGGATTCTTTTTCAGAGGCATCTTCTGAATCCATTTTTTTATCAGAAAGTGGGCTGTCTGGCGTAGGTCCTGTCAAGGTACCTTCAATGGTTCCAGAAGGGATTCTAGGCTTTAATTGCAGCATGCAATCCAAGATAAGCAGCAATGCACCAATGCTTTTTGGGGCAAGAATTTCACACCCTCTCAAACTTTTAGACTTGAAATCTGTCAAGATATTAATGATGGTAGATACAAGACCATTCTGTGCTGAGATTTTTCTGATAGTTCCATCCTCATGAAGGAGCAATGCTAAGATATGTGATATCATACGCAATGCACTGGAATCTTTTGAAAAATCCAAAGGACAAAGCTTCAACTGCTCACAAAGATAAGATGCCACCTTGGGACGGTCTTCTCCTTTGTTCCTATTGCAGAGAGTCGCTAGCAAATCTGTAACTGAGAATACCATTGCATCATTACTCTGGAACAACTTAACAGATGCAGCAAGGATATCATCGACAGGAGGCGTCTTTATTAACCCTTCTTCTGTCGGCGCATCGACAGACTTATCAACATTTTCATTTTTCAATCCCTCTGATGAACTCCCAAGTGATAAAGCAAGTGCACGAGCCAGTTCATCCTCCTCCTGCACCGGATCATCAGCATGACTAAACAACCACTCCATAGCCATTTCAACACTATTTGCTTCCACTCGCCTCAACGCTTCCTCGGCTCTTGCCCTTGAGAATCCCATCTCAACAATTGTTGTTATAGTAGCTTCATCAGGAGGTGGAGGTATGAACCTACGATTCGCACTTCCGGCAACTCCACTGTGACTCCTTTTAATGTCACCAACACCAGAGTATATATGTGTTATCAGTGAAATGATGGAAGCAGAGAACGCAGGGCTACAGTTTGGAAACATGGGGTGGTTCCAAACAGGAAGTATTACATCGAGAACCTGCGATTGCAGCATCCGAACAAAAGCTTCAGGGTCCCTAGGAACAGGAAACAGCCCAATAGATAAGCCAACTGCACCTGGTTGAACAAGTAACTGAGCCTGGGATGAAGAGCTTGGGGATAAAAGCAAAGTGGAGTTTACAAAATACTCCAGCACCCGACAATAGTTTTGCAATGTGTCTAGGAGCCACCCACATTGAGACAATTTATTACCCTCTGTAACCTTCTCTTCATCAGGACCTGAAGTTGAGTGAGGGTATGGTGATGTCCACAACAATTCACTGGTGGCCGCAAATGTCGTGAGCAACTCCTTAAATGTTCCATGGACATAAAAATTATTTATCATAATAGTATAACAAGTACGTCGCCTGGTGTCACATGTGAGTGCCGCCATGTCATCCACAATCTTTCCAAGATATCTGCACTTCACTGATACAGCAGTAGAATAACCTGAAAAATTGAGAGCCTCGAGAAACATTGTGGCCAATGAAGAACCAAGAGTCTTAGAAGCTGCACTTAATGAACCCACATCAGATCTCCGACGGTTTGGGGAAGTGAATCCCTTGACAAGGGCTGTAAAGAAAGAGCGCAGTGTGGAAGCCAGCTTGTTCAGAATTTCTGCAACAAGAACATCAGGGCTCTTCTTCTTAACATCCTGGGAAGATGACTCAGTTACATTGGCCAAAACCTCGGAGTCCAAATTTAAAGCATCCAAGTGGCGGCCACTCCTCCCACCCCGTATTCGTGTCAAACCATGTCTACTACGACGATGTAAGCCTTCACCAGAAGGAAGAACTGATAGAAACTCACGTTCTCCACCCCAAAGGGGCTGAAAACTGCTCCTGATTGAAACTGGGTTCATATATCTGACAGCTGGGTTAGCATCATCATCACTCTCTCTTCCAACAACATTAGATGACGACACATCTCCACTGTCCAATTCAGGCTCTACAATCCTCTTCTCTTCCACTTTGGAATCATTGTGCGCAGAAATTTGCCAAATAACTTCCCAGTATGTCCTCCCAAGATCCTTCAGGACTTCAGCATCTGCAGTACCCAGTTCAGAGACCACACTAGCAGTACCTTTCAACAGAAAATTTGACAGAGACAATATACCCTCAAGGCTTGAGAAGTGCTTCAAAATCTTAGTTTGTTTCCCGGAATCAACTACAGAAAGCTCAGTTCCTCTAACTGAATCTAAGAGTTCATTAGTTGACTTCACATGTTCTCTCAAAAATGAGCATACTGCCCTGGCCAAAGATGCAGAATGTTGAGGTGAAAAGTTCTTGAAAGCAATGGAGATAATCTGACCGAGAGATGAAGAGACAGGCATCAAAGGTAAGGTAAATAAACTAAGGACTGCATCTACCCCCTTCTTCTCTACAAAAATACGACATGTATCAGCATTTTGAAGAATCGTTTCAAGAAGACGAGCTGCATTCCCGACACAATCAGAAAGGAATGACTCTATATTCACTACCGAAGCATCAGAAGAAAGATCAGCAGACTGCTGCTCTGAATTTGTAGCTTCTTTGCCATCATCCAGAACGGGACTCACCTCCTCGGAGTCAGTTTCCATGGGAACAACAACAGAGCAGCTCGGCACATCAGCTGTTGACAAAGAAGCATCTAAAAAAGAGCCAGCTGAGGAAGAACCATCCACCCCAGAACCGATTCGTGCAATGCAACTCAAAATCTCAATTAACATGTCCACTCCAGGTTCGCGCAAAGAAGAAGCATGGCGCATGAGTTCGTCTAATCCACTAGACAAGGACACAGGAGTCTCCCCAGTAAGGGCACGCAGATAAGTTCTGGACGTAAAAATCTTGACAAAGCACCTCAAAGCATTGCAGTCTTTAACTGCCTGAAGCCCATTATTGTTCAGGCACAATGCATCCAAGCATTGAGGTATGCATATTATGGCTTCAGCAGAGCATAAAACACCATCCATGATAGCATCCAGAAATGCAGAAGGAAGACCAGCTGCATCCAGGACAGAGAAACAGGTAGGATCCTTATGAATAAGATCACTCATAACCGTTGCTGCAAGTGAAAACACCCCGCCGCCAAAATCCTTAGCTCTCCTAAATATGATGCTCAAGCATTGTGGCAGCAAACTCTCTTCAGATCCATAAATACGAGAAGTATTTCCTGGAGCGTATGTTCCCAGTGATATAGCACGTAACAGTACTTTCATAAGCAAACGCCGGTGATAAGAAACCAATGCCTCAGAGTATAGGGGATGCATACTCTCCAGATCAGATGAAGCACCAGCAGCGTCAATTGGCAAACTATTTCCCCTGGAATCAGAATTTTCACCATGTTGCCCCTGACCATTTTCTATATAAGAGACTTCTACCTTCAGCCGAGAAATGGTATCATCTAAACCACCCAACTCTCTGAACAATGCAGCAGCTGGATTACTGTAATCCATGAAAGCTTCTAAAATATGCACAGCCGTCCCAACTAAATGCAAATGCTGAGGATCTGTGTCCTTGAGGAGAGGTAGAAGGGTAGGGATGAAACCTGCCTCACGCATGGCTGAGCACCCAGAGGATGATGAGACCAAAACAGTGACCAGAGATAATAAAGCCTCAGCAAAAACAACAGACCATTTTGATGTTCGATTCATAACAGAATCAATAGATTTCTGCATGAGGCTGGATAGAATGCCACGGTGACCACCAGATGTGACAGCAGCCAGGACACTAGGCTGCCGGGAGCGATCCTGAGAAAGGGCAACTAAAGCGAGAAGAGAAAGAATCCGAATTTTCTCAGGAACTGCATCTTCATAGCTCAACAAGGAAACTAGTTCATTTACAAACTCTGGCTCGGAGTTGAAAAAAGAAACTAGATCAGCAGCATCACTACTTGCTTGAACAAGAGCTATGAAGGCATATAGACGAATGCATGAGTATTGCTGTCGAGAAGCCAAAGATCCAAAAGCCCTCGCAAACCGTAACCGCGTCAATAGAGAAAATCTCAAACGGTGAGGCACTTTATACTCTGCAACTAACTTGTTCAAAAGTTCTAAATCTGTATCTGGGAGAGTGTTGATGTTAGGTAAATGAATGATTTGTAACCCTTCTGTTGATTCTTCTGTCTGCTGAGACTCACTTGGTGGCTCCCTCAGTCCATAGAACTCAAAATGGAGGGTGCAGCCTAACTCATATGCTACAGGATCACACCCATTGTCAACAGTACATGCAATCAGACCTAGACCCTCCTCCTTTCCACCCCAGCCCTGTGCCAGAGTGAATAGCTTAGAACTCAAGGAAGCATCTCGAATGGAGTACTTTCCAATGGTTTTCTTAAGGAAAGCAGCCAGAGTCTGCAGACAAGCCTCAACCACATCTGCATCTGTTGAAGCAAGAAGGGCAGAAAGATGCTGCTGCGATAATATAGAAAGGGAGGAAGAGTTAGGAAGATGGTTCTGGGGTGCTTAACACCATAAGCAAAATGAAATTTTTTGATACACTGACTGACAAGCAGACACATGAGGCATTGCCACAGAAAAAGGTACCTCATATGAACTATAAAAGTGCTTATTTGTGCAATTCTCTAAGATTATTCTGATAACGCGGAGGATCTGAAGAACGGCTTCTCGCGGGAAATAGCTATCAGATTCCAGAAAGCTGTCATCAAGCTGCAACTCTTTCCTTGGTTTTATGTGCTTATCGAAGAATGAATCGAAATGGTTAAAAAGGTCAACCCAATGATGAAAATCGCCCTGTATCAAGAAGTTCCATGTGAATAAATGCAAAATGAACAGCCTGCAGAGAAAAACTTCACACCGAAAAAGATACCTTATCAAACTCCCAAGCAAAGCCCTTAAGAGGCTCTTCTATATTCTCCAGAGCAGTAGCAGTCACATTATTGATGAAGGATTTAATTTTTGGAGGCTGTAAAATTACAAAGGAAAAATCTCAGAGCACATCATCAGAAGTCTCAAAACAATACACAAGAGAACGACCAAAGAAATGGAAATGACATGGAAAGCCCATAAAAAGTGCAAAGAAAAGCAGGCATTAAGCAGAAATTTACCTAAGGCTCCTGCAAAACAAAGAACATTTGTCTACCTAGCTGCTGATCTTAAACTTAGTTTTAGATAGACGCCAAAGGGTATCCAAGTACATTCAAGAAATTCTATAAACTAGTCGTTTCCATATGTTGGTAACTAAAAGAATTTGCCAGAAACTCTTCTATCTGATAAACCACAAAGCGCTTTCTCCCGGACAGCTAGTGGCAAAGTGTCCTTCTAAATTAGTAATGGCATTAAACAAGAGGTACACTATGTTCAACTCATTTCAAGAACCACAAATGCTGATACAGAAGAAAATCCTATTGGTGGAAGGAATCAAAACGTGGGGCAAAAATTTTCCAGGTAATTTGAAACGAGGTGTAAACTCCAACAGAAAAAATGAACACCGAAAGAAGCAAATGGAGAGGGGAAGTGAAGATGAAGATATCAATGTATCTGAGGGTGCATATTAACTCAAGATGAAGTGGTAGTGCCTGTTCCCTATGATACCATCAGGTCATACCGCATGAAATTTCATTCCTTAGCTACTCAGACTAGGGAAGCCGCTTAAAATTAGAAAGGAAAAGAAAGATTTGAAAATGCGCTCTAAAGTTAAACGATAAAATGTCGTCATTTGGCTGCCATGGATCATGAGTAGAAACTAGATGTCAGAGCAATGATATGGATATCATCCTCCGCTCACTTCCACATACACCGCGAGATTAACTCACACACTTCCCAAGGTTGGGAGTTTCTTACCATAATATGCCACCGAAATGGAAAGGAAACTAATGAAGTGAAGATAGGATTAAATCAGTAAAAGCGAAAGTGGAATACCGTGCATCTCCTCGAGTTTGGTAATTGCGTTCAGAATGAGAAACTAGAAGAAAAAATTCATCGGGAAAAAGAACTTTGGATTTTGCAGTTGGGTTTCACCATCGGCAGTCCTCTTAGGGTAAACCAAAAAGAAGTTCCAAAATTGTTGAGGAACCAAGCAGGCACAAGCTCAGCTGAAAACCCAATGGTTTCAAGCAAGCTATCACTCACAACCAAAAATCAAATAGTTCAAATAAGGGTTTATATAATTTCGGTGCATATTTCCGATGATACAGAGGTCCAGTGGAATTGAAGCAATAAACTTTACACAGAAAACAGCCAAACACCCTGATGAGAAGGAAGTTTTACCCATTATAATTGCATAATGATAATCAAAGAAGCAGTAAAAAGGATTCAAGCTCTCTCCATAACAATTGAAACAACAACAACTCAATGGATTAACAGACCACAAGTTATGTTTCCAAAACTCTAACTCCGTGCAGCGTGCCAAATGAGAGAGGGGGGAAGAAAAACAAGTAAAGAATCAAACTTTACACAATCCACAACTCAAAACAACAGCAGTAGTAGAGAAGCAAACACTGACCACTTCCAAAGACCTCCGCCGCTTGAGCTTCATCTCGGTGAATCAAAGAGCATTGCACACGTGCCCCCCGAGAAACCGCAAGAGAAAACTGCAACCGGGAATCAATCAATTCTTCAGAAACAAGAAGCGATTGAGGGATTGTGAGACGAGATATATGTTTCCAACAATCACTATTCACGATGATCGGATCCCCAATGAGCAGCGAGTCCGCCGATAACGAGGCACAAAACCAATCAGAGCAACGAATTCGGGAGGTGGAAAGGGGGAATGAAGAAGAGAATATGCGAATTGACAATCGGTAACTAGGGTTTTTGGTGCCGCGATCGCAATTCAGTTGAGGATTCTCGCGAAGGAGAAATAGAACGGAAAGGAGAGAGAGACGGAGAGAGTGGACAAGAGTTCTCTAACTAAGAAGCAGAATGCAAAGGCAACACACACATATATAAAGAGAGCTTCTTGTGAAACAAGAGAGAGTTTTGTAGGAGAGGGAGGGAGAGATATTAGCGCAGATTTTTACTTGGTACTGAATTTGGAGTCCTAGCCACCTAGGTGGCTTCCTTTACTTGGTTTGTAATTCTTTTTCCCAAAAAAAAAAATACAGCGCAAAAGTAAATGCTGGTTTCTAATTTCTATTATTAATCGAAATGCGATTTTAAGAATTCAACAATAGTTTTGAGACATGAGACAGTAGGCTAGCATTGGACTACCGATGGAGTGGCAAGCGTTGTGAATTGTGATCAAGATAGTTTGCTGCAAAATTATCATCTCTAGTAGTGGGATCATCAAATTTGTCTCCAGAGTTACTTTGTCTAAATCTAAGTTTCTTGGACTAGTTTGAAAGTGTGCAAGATCCTATCAAGTCAGTGATAAACCGAGCCATCAATCTTAGCACTATCAATTATCTTGTTGGAGCATATTATCTATCATATGCTCGCTTATGATATTGACTCGTTGGTGGATCAATATAGTGGTCTCATAACTGTTTCAGAAACTATGCTCATTTTTTTTTGTTTTTCAGTAGTCCGGTCATTTGAAATTTTCCATGATCAATGAATCGACCCTTACATGCTAGATAGCTTTGCAACCATAATCATATAGTTGAAGTATAAATGATCTTTGAATCTCAATTCTATATCACCCTAGAACACAATGTATAGGTAATTCACTCTAGTGTGATCTTTTATACTCCTTTTATCCATATGTATGTTCTAACCTTATAATATAATATTTTCTCTCTCCGGTCTAAGATCACATAATCTTCGGAAGTAATAAAAATTTGAGCATCAAACTATGAAACCACAACGATATATAACATAAATATCATCCACAATCACTCAATCCATAAGCCAACCAATAAATCTCAACCTAACATAATAGGGTTCATCAATCTCTAACAATGCAGTAGTTTAGCTCACAACGGGGAGAGAAGTACAAAAAGGAGAAGAATAACACAAAATCAAACTTGAATCCATCTTTTCCTCACTCCTTTGCTCAACCAGATGAGTTATTGGGAGGTTTCTCCTTCTTCAATCTCTTCTAAATCACTCTCTCACTCCTCACATCTTTTTGGGTGTGTGTTCCCTCTCTCAATGAATGGTCTACTCCTAAAAATCTGAGTTTCAACTCCTATGCCCGTTGACAAGGGGAACACACAAATTGGAAACATGGTTGTGTTTTTTAGCAACCCATATCGACATACCACGATTTAGAGACCTTGTTTGTCTTTGTCATGCCAAAAACACGACCTCTGTGGCTCTGTATAAGGAAAACACAATCACGTTTTTACTTTCTTATGATTAGGTTGTGTTTTATGGGCTTGCCTTCTTTTCATGCCTCAAACAATCTCATATATAACTCGCTTCAAACGATCATCGATATGATAGGGCATGAATTATGCAAATCGAACACAACTAGGACTGGAAATGAGTTGAATTGTTCACATACGGTTCGACGTTTCGAGCGGGAAAAACACTGGTTTGAACTTTGACTTATTTACCAATGAGCTGAGTATGAATTAAGTCTTGTTTTGCTAGCCTTACTTGTTAAGCTCAACTGGTGAGCTTACTTGTTTTGAGCTCATGGGATGTCTCAACGTTGTAGCGGATCGATCTATTACATTATGAGTTAACTTGTTGATAATTTATATATTGAAAATATTATACATCTCACCCCACATAATGTTCAAAACTCTGAGCATCTAACCAAGTTATGTAGCATTTAAAAAACAATTACTATGAAATAAGTTAAATAACATGATATGAAAAAGTTAAAAGTTATAAACTAAATAATATGATACCAACAATACGTAAACAAGATATCGGTTAAAGATGAAGAAAAAAAAATTCTCATCATGATATAAATCACATACATTATACATGACATACAAATATAAAAAAATCATCTATAAACTATTTTAGAGTTTAATTTAAGAGTTTATTTAGAATAAATGAGTTGAGCTCGAACTGAACCCATGATCTTATTGATGAGCCAAACTCGAATAAAGCTCGTAAACTTATTAATGAGCTATACTCAAATAGAGTTCGAGACAAACACGAATCAAAAGATTTAGTAAACTAGTCACATTCAAACTCGATTCGTACGAATTTTTGCCGTTCTAAGCACAATCTAGCTAGAAAAATACCAACCGAGAGGAAGATTGCGAGCTAAATGACAAAAAAAAAAAATTAATAAAGGTCCAAGTTAAGAGGGTTAAAAGATGTACAAATACAAGTGCACATTTGTTTACCCAAGATCACTGGCCACCAAGACTAAACAACCAGTTCAGCATCAAAATGGGGTATTGCTTGTAAATTCACCAATACAACATTAGTGTTTTGTGTTTATTAGCGATAGTCTTGTGATTTGTTCATTTGTACTTCCTCCAAATTTGGAACTGGAAACAAGCAGGGAAGATGAAGCAATATTTTTCCATTTGATCAGAGAAAAAAAAACCCTTGCTAAATGCGAAGTTGTCACTTGTCAGTTCCTCTATTCTATTTGCCGGAATAAATAAAGGTAAACGACGTCGTAGAGATGGTATTACTCTGTGGACTCGTCTTCCTCCTGTAAACCCTGCTGAAACCCATTTGCCCACAGACGGAGCGCAGCAAAAGAATAATGGTCAGGAGCAGGAGGAGAAGATGAGCAAGAAGCAATGGCTCCCTCGCCTGTCATGTGCCCTTTCGCGCGCTTACTCTTCCTTTTCTGCTTCTTCATCCTCACCACCGTCGACATCGTTCCCTCTCAAGCATGTGACGAAGTCCAACTTCGAATCCGCGCTCGCCGAGCTCAGAGCCCATGTACGCGCCGCCGATTTCGTCGCCATCGATTTGGAGATGACCGGCGTCATCAGTGCCCCCTGGAGGGAGTCCTTCGAGTTCGACCGATTCGATGTTAGGTATCTCAAGGTCAAGGATTCCGTTGAGAAGTTCGCTGTCGTTCAGTTCGGCGTTTGCCCTTTCCGTTGGGACTCTCAACGACAATCCTTCATAGCTCACCCGTAAGCAACGTCTCTCTTCCCTTTCCCCACCTGCTTTCCTCTTTACTTTCTCGAAACTGAGCACTCTCCCGGGGTCCTTTCCTCTGAGAGAGCTTTAGATGTGTTATATAAAAGAGTTCTACTTATATGGTTGATTGATCGAGACCGTTGTTTGTTGACTTTTTCTGGGAATTGCTAAGCTGATATCCAGATAGAAATGTGGGAAAACTTGAACTTTGATGGGTTTTCCTTCTGCATTTGCTTGTCCACAAATTTGAAATTGGAGAGGTTCATTTAGGTTGGTTTATGACTCTGCTTGGCATGAATTGTTTCTGGCAGGCATAATTTCTTTGTTTTCCCACGCGAAGAGCTTCTCTCCGGTGGCCCTTCTCCTGAGTTCCTCTGCCAGACATCATCCTTGGATTTCTTGGCCAAGTATCAGTTCGATTTCAATACATGTATTCGTGAAGGTACAATTGCTTTACATTCTGTATAGCACAACAGAACTAGCTAGGGCTCCTTTAGTGCTCATTCTAGGATGTTTTATGTGTTGTTATTTACCACTCTTTGTTAATTCAGGGATATCTTATTTGTCCAGAGGACAAGAAGATGAAGCATTGCGTCGCTTGACTCTCCATTGTAAGAGGTTATCAGACTTGTCGAAGGACTCTGAAGATGGGGAAGGCACGCCATTGGTTAATTTTACTGATGTTCTCTTCTCCAAACGAATGAAGGACAAATTGAGCGAGTGGCGTTCTGGGTTGTTGCATTCCACTAGAAATGCTACTTCCCAGTGCCATGACATGTCAAAAGGTTCAAAGCAACAATTTCAGACTGTTTTCTTTAAGATGCGCCCGGCTGTCACTCTGAATGGTTTCACCTCTCATCAACTTAATTTGATCCGGATGGTGATGCTTCTTCACCAGACTTCATTTCAGCAACTTATGCTACTAAACAACTTCGAATCAGTTCTGATATTAGGTCTCATATCAACTTTCTATGTTAGAAAGATTTGATATCTGATATTTGTGCTTGATACCTACTACTAAAAGTTATGGAGGAATCTGAATCCTTCTAATATTCATAGACCCGTAATACTTGTTTGTGGAATTGGATTCAATAGGTTCTGCTTCTGTTTCATGCTTGAGGTGTAAAGAATTCCTTTGCATAACTAAACATGAAAGTCAATCACCTGCAGGTCACCAAGAAATATTTCAAAGATCTTGTTTTCATTCGTGCCAGTGGTGAAAACTCTTGTTCGGAACAATTCGTCGTGTATACAGACACAGAGAGTGACAAGGCTTTATTACTGGTAACTTTTATGTTCATCAACTCATTTACACACGCTTGATCAAAAGGGTTTTGTTATCTAGAGTGTTTGGAGATGCTGCTCTTTTCTTTCAAATGAGAAATGGGAAGATGTGAAATATTTATAGCTTTGCCAAGTGGTAATTGTTCTGTCTTATGCATGATGCATATAATCCTTAAGTACTTAAATTTCAAAATTCCCAAGGGAAAGAAGAAAAAGGAAGATATGGGAAAGGAACTTGAATAAGATTCAGAAAACATGTTTGAGAGATAAAAGGACTTCATTGGTTTTATATTTCATGCAGACAGAGGTCAAGAACGAATATCATAGAGATGCAGAGAAGAAGATCAAAGCTGCAATTGGGGTTCGCCATGTTATAGATCTTCTTTCTTCTGAGAAAAAGTTGATTGTTGGTCATAATTGCTTCTTGGGTAAGCATTATTTTTTCTCTACGACAGACTTTTTCTGGTCATATATTCTGCTGAGATTCATTATCTTGTGTGATGCAGATATTGCACATGTATACAGTAAGTTCTTGGGTCCTCTCCCTTGCACAGCTGAAGAGTTCGTTTCATCATTGAACAAGCATTTTCCTTACATTGTCGACACCAAAATTCTCTTGAATTCGAGTGATGTACTGCAAAGAAGGATGAAGAAAGCAAGCACTTCTTTGTCCTCGGCCTATCTTTTACTTTGTCGACAGATTACTTTGGGCGTCGATAAAGGATCCGACTCGGGTTCTTCCCCAAGCGTGAAAATTGAGGTGGAGATGGATGATACTAGGTGAACTCTCTGATTTCTGAGTTCCATGCAGTTTGTTTGCTCATATTTCCTTGAATGCCATATATTGAATCTAACACACTACCAGGTTTAAGCTATTTTCCTCTGCATAAACTGTTGTTGATGCATCTTTCGGTGACTTGTGTTGATGCATGTTTTTTTTTTTTTTTTTTTTTATAATTTCACTTAGGTCTACAGACTGGAATTCAGGAGCCAAACATGAAGCAGGATATGATGCTTTCATGACTGGTTGCATCTTTGCACAGGCATGCCATCATCTCGGTGTTGACTTCAACCAGCATTCACCATCTCCATTGAACTTGGCTCTCAACGAGAACCTCCAGAAGCACATCAATCGCCTCTACTTGAGCTGGTTCAATTGGAACATCATCGATTTAATCACCGGAAAGCAGATAGATGCTGTTGGATCTAATAGCAGTCTGAACAAGCGATTCTCCAAAATTGTGTTTGAGAATGTTGTTCTAATCTGGAGGTTCCCTTCCAAGCTCAAGGCAATGGAGATAAATGAGTGCCTATGCAAAGTCTTTGGTCCAACCTCGGTTGCCTCGGTCTTTCGAGTGGATGAAAGTGCAGTTCTGGTTCATTTCAGCAAGCCAGAGTTTGTTTCAGATTTTCTGCTTCTGAAAGAAACCTTGGAAGGGAGCAATGATGTGATATCAGCTGTGCATCCTCTGTCGGGGATTCTGGAAGGTGGGAAGACGGGCGCTGCTAATTACGAGACATATAAAGAGATATGCAGGTCTCCGGTCTCCATGGCTCTGCTTGCCGATTCAGCAGATGATGTTGTTGGGCTGGGATGGAGGAGGAAGAAGATGGTTTCGGTGGGCAAGGGGGAGAGTGGGAATGAAGGAAGAACAAGTGTTGGTGAAGAAGTATACGAGTCGAGTGGTAGTTGTTTGTCACGTGATGTTGTTGAGGTGGAAGATATGAGAGCTACTCATATGTGAATGTGACCTCTCCTTCACAATAGAAACCATTTGGGGAAGGATTCTGTATGTAGAAGAACAATTGGAATGGAATGTTGTGCATAGCAACATAATGCTTGTGTAAGTAGAGGATTTAGGATGTAGCACTGGTTGATTAATAGCATAAATATAAAAAAGAGGAAATTTCGACATTGGCCATCCCGAATGCTTTTTCGCGACATATTCTTCTTCAAGAACCAAATGGAATGAATTCAAGATTCATTTCTTGGTAATCAGTCGAACACTCCAAGAATCTCTTTGGAATGAACGGGCCATAACGACCTCGATCTCTAGTAAAAATATCAAAAAAATCCGGTCGGCCGGGTACATCACTATACATATATTAGATGATAAGATTTTAAGGAAATTCTCAAGTGGGACTTGAACAAGTCAACACAGCAGGACTCCGCGTAACAGTAAACAAACATTTGAATTGTCTGCGAGAAGTCTTCCACACCACAGCAAATCCAACATTAATGGAATACAGCTATTCCTATGTCCTACAAGCGTGTTGACGAATTGATTAGCGACCAGGCAGTCAACGGCACGAGCTAAGATAGCAAAGGCCAGAGGCAGATTTCCCAAACCAGTTTCCTCCATCCGAACAGCACTACCAATTCAGTTTTGCCATGGCTGAAATCGTCTCCCAAGTCCTAATCCAACTGGGTTCCATCCTCGTTGAAGATCTGACACAACATGGGAAGCTCGTCCGCGACGTGGAAGGGCACGTCAACAAGCTCACATCTACTTTCAAGGCCATTGGATCCCTTCTCTTGGATGCCGAAGAGAGAGAGCTGACGGACAAGGGGGTCGAAGACTGGCTGAGGAAACTCAAGGACGTCGCCTACGAGGTCGATGACGTGTTGGACGAGTGGCGAACCGAGATCCTCAAGCGCCAGATTGCTGGAGATCATCATGGTGAGCATCTCGGCTCTTCTTAAACGAGTATGTTCTTTTCTTCCTGCTTGCTGTCGTTTGTCCACCAGTGAGATGGGTATGCGATACGGTATTGGTGTCAAGATAAAGGAACTGAATGGAAGGCTAGATGATATAGCTACGGAGAAAGATAGGTACAATTTTGCTCCTAGGGAGGCTGTATCTCGAAGTCTGCAGACCAGCCCCAATATCGATTTCTCTGACGTGAAAGGCAGAAAAGAGGAGACAAATGGCTTGCGGTGCAAGTTACTGAATGACGGAAATGCAGGTGTCCGAAGTTTCTCTATCCAAGGCGCCGGCGGACTTGGCAAAAAAAACAACACTGGCCAAACTTCTCTACAACGACCGACAGTTGGAAGCTCATTTTGACAAGAGAATTTGGGTTTGTGTGTCTGACACTTTTGATCAAATGACGATCTGCAGAACAATTTTAGAATCACTTACAGGCCCTACTCAACAAGGTAATATACTTTCAAACATGTTAGAGAAGATACGCGAAAGCATTGAGGGCAAGAAGTTTCTTTTAATTCTTGATGATGTGTGGGAAGATAGCCGAAGCAAGTGGGAAGAATTAAGAAACTCTATTTCCAGTGGCTTGTCAGGGAGCAAAATCTAGGTTGCATGAATATCGATGTGATACATATAGAAAAGATGCCTAAGGATGTATGTAAGGCGATCTTCACTCAAATTGCATTCTACGGGTGGACTTTGGAGGATCAGGAAGAGGTAGAAGACATCATTGAAGAAGTTGTGGAGAAATGTCATGGCTCCCCATTGGCAGCGAAGGTGTTAGGAGGAATTCTACAGTCCAAAAAAGCTAGAAAAGAATGGACTCGGCTTCTAAAGAGTGAATTGTGGCAGCTGGAGGAAGCTAGACAAGATGTGTTTGGTCCTCTGGCATTGAGCTACTATGATTTACCTCCAGCCATCAGACAATGCTTTCAGTTTTGCTCCGTGTTTCCTAAAGATTTTGAAATAGAGAAGGATGAATTGATTAAGCTATGGATGTCACAGGGTTTTCTTAGAGCAACGCGGAATCAAGACATAGAGGGGATTGGTGAACACTATTTTCAGATTTTGGGGATGCGCTCTTTCTTCCAAGATTTTGAGAAGAGAGATGTATGGGTTGGAGAAAAAACATATTGCAAGATGCACGATTTAGTGCATGACTTTGCTCGTCTTATAAGTGGGAACGAGTCCATCTGCATGACAAATAGAGAAGTGGAGAATCATGCACCCTCTACCAATCACTTGCGCAGCTTCATAGCATCAAGTGTGGATGCATCTAAACCTGATGTATTCGATCATTTGCGGGGCATTCGGTTGCTAGTTCTCAAAGACGTTCATCTCAAAGCAGTCTCATCAACTATAAACCAGTTGATTCATCTCAGGCATTTGGATTTATCCTACAACGATATCTTGATTGAGCTGCCAGAAGAGATATGTGAGTTGTACAATTTAGAAACTCTTCTCCTCAACTTAAATACGAGGTTGAAGAAACTACCTAGTGGGATGGGGAACAAGTTAGTGAACTTGAAGCATCTGGAGAACGATGAAGTTCCAGCATGCCTCCCGAAACAAATTGGGAGATTAGCTGCCTCTCTGAAGACACTAACCCAATTTAACATCGTACACGAGGATGAACGAGGTAGTACTAATGTTTGGGCTTTGGAGGGGATGAACCAACTTCAGGGATCCCTTTATGTGAAGGGACTAAATAAGGTCACAGATTGTGGTGAAGTGAAGCGGGCACAGTTCGCCCGAAAAGAATCTCTTGCTCATCTATGGCTTGATTTTGCGTCGAGCATGACGGAACAAGTAGCTGCGAGTCACAGGGAAGAACGAGTGTTGGAAGCTGTAAGGCCGTCATCGACGAGTTTGGAACGACTAGATGTAATATACTACAGCGGTGTGACCATAAATCCTAGCTGGTTGCTCTCACTCTCCAACTTAACATCCCTCAGCTTCATCGGTTGCCTTCGAGTGGAACGTCTGCCACCTCTAGGTGCCCTTCCCTCCCTCCAACAGCTTAACTTGACCAGAATGTTTGAAGTGAATAAAGTAGGCGCAGAGTTCTTGGGAACGAGTGATATTAACAACAATGTTGCATTCCCCAAACTTAGACTGCTCCATTTTGAGCACCTGAGGAACTGGGAAGAGTGGGAGTTAGCAGAAGAGATGAGTTTGACGACAGTCATCATGCCCCGGCTGCGTTGCTTGGAGGTGTTCCACTGTAGGAAGCTACAGAAGTTGCCGGATCTGCTTCTCCAGAAATAGACCCTGGAAACGCTGGAAATACATCAGAGCGGCGGTTTGGGGAGTTGCAGGTTCTATTCAGAGATGGGAGAAATGGTTCCGAGTGATGTGTGGGACAAAATCTCTCACATCCCTACCGTCATCTTGAACAGAATTGATATCCGAACAAGATTCAAGAATGATATAGGTAAACTATTCCCCTGAATCCCCCACTACGTCTCTCTTGTTTCCATGAGAGTTATGATATATAAAACGTTTATGAGTTGAATAGATCATCATGACTTGGCTTGTTCTCATGCGTCCCAATTTTATGAAATGGCAGAATCCATGTACGGAACTGGCTACTGATCTTACAGCAGATAGGAAGCAGGCGATGATGGCGACTGTAAGTTGATTGACTTCTCTCTATCTCAGTTCTTTACATATAGTACCCTCAAGCTAGAGCTGAATGCTGATCAAGGAATCTCCATTACTGGAAGAGAAGACAAGGATATATAGTTATGTTGCTGAGATATGCAAAGCTAAGGCAGATATGCTGGTTTCTTTGGTATCACAACCTCCAAAGCTAAGGCAGATATGCTGGTTTCTTTGGTATCACAACCTCCCCAGACACTCTCTGTTGAACATGCTAAACAACTCTGTCTGTTGAACACTAAACAAACTCAGGTTCTTGGATAAGGATATATTAGTATTTAAATATCTAAGAATACATAATCTATTTCAAATGCATAAAAGATCATACTTTTTATAGGAGTTTAAATTAATTTCTTAAACTTACGAATTCATTATTTTTTTAATTTATGAATAAGCAAGTTTTTCATTCCATCGATACAATCTGTTTACGAACTGAACAAGACTAAAAACTAGGGGTGGCAGTTCAGTTATCGGTTACCGGTTAACCGGCCGATTATCCACTAACCGATAACCGAACTTTGGTCGGTTATCGGAGGCTGGACGAAATGGTTTTTTATCTTAAAAGTGCTTCGATTAACCGATAACCGAGATAATCGAGAAACAAAGCTTATTTCGGTCGATGCTCGGTAGGGAGAATAGTTATTTCGATTGACCGATAACCGACCGATCGGTTACCGGTTATAACCAAAATAACCGAACTGCCACCATACTAAAAACCATACAGAACACAACCACACATCTACAATCTGTCTCCTATATTTGACATGCAAGTCTACAATTGCCTAGAATCATATTCAAGGATCCCCTGCATTTTCAGAGTCGGCTCCAAGCTTGTTACCATATACCCTCTATCAGGAAAAAAATTCTCAAAATACATATGTTTTCTAAATAAATTTTCAAAATACACATGTTATGAAAAAAATTCCCAATCTACGCATGTTTGAGCCTTCACCGCGGCAGAGCAAAGCGGTGATTGCATCACTGCATAAAAGAAGAGCGGTGATTGCATCACCGCTTGAGAGAAGGGCGGTGATGCAATCACCGCTGTAGAGAAAGGCGGCGAATGCTTCACCGCGTTACACGGCCGTGGTGAAGGCCTAACTTGCGTCGAAACTTTAAACAAACGTAACTTTGTGCTCGGTTATCCGATCATAGCGATTTTTTTTTTGATTCCGCATAACTTTTTGAGATCTTGCAAGCTGCAAACCGCTGTAGGCGGTTTGGTCCCGCCTTTGTCCCGAAAAAACGTCGTTTGCTACACCGAACAAGCCTTTTTCGTTTCCGTCAAACTTTGAACGACCATAACTTTGTGCTCCACAATCCGAAAATCATGAATTTTATTTTATTTATACATAACTTTTTAAGGACTACAATTTTTATTATAGACATAATTTCGGAATGTACTTGGATTCCTGAAAAGGGAAGGTAAAGTTATTCCCAAAATCCCGTATATCCAAAAATAATTCATTTTTTGAAAATCCTTTCGAAAAGTTATGCGGAATCAAAAAATATTTCGCTACGATCGAATAACCGAGAACAAAGTTACGTTCGTTTAAAGTTTCGACGCAGGTTAGGCCTTCACCGCGGCAGTGTAAAGCGGTGAAGTATTCACCGCATTTCTCTATAGCGGTGATGCAATCACCGCCTTCCTCTACAACGGTGATGCAATCATTGTCCAATCACCGCTCTCTTCTTATGCGGTGATTCAATCACCGCCTTGCTCTGCCTCGGTGAATACCTAAACATGCGTAGATTGAGAATTTTTTTCATAACGTGTGTATTTTGAGAATTTTTTTTAAAACATGTGTGACTTGGGAAACTTCACCTCTCACTCCAAACTTCACTTGCCAGCAAATTCCATTAGCAATCGACCAGACTTGTTACCCTGAAACTTAAGAACGACTTTCTGTAAATGCAGGGCAGTTGCTGTGAGCCTAATTGGAAAGGGCGGATAGGGGTCTCAGCCCAGGCCCAGCCCAACCCAACCCAACCCAACCCCAACAGCCCATGTTTATGAAATAGGCACACGCCCTCGGGTCTCGTCCGTCATGTCAAGCCAGCCTCCACCCCACGTGGCCACGTCTCGAAGACTCCGGTAAAAAAGAAAAGAAAACTGAATCCGTTAACCGCCCAATTTCAAATTGGCGCTCTCGGCTTTCCTTTGCTCTGCTTTCTCCTCTTCAATAAAATCCCATTAGCAGCGAAGAAATTCTTGCACTTCCAACCAAAAAGGAAAAGATCGAGCACAGAAATGGCGACTTCAGTTATACTCTACCACCACCTCTCCAACGCCGCCACCATTCTTATCTCCATCTTCTTCCTCTCCACCACCACTGTTTCTTCTCTCGAGTTCCAAGTCGGCGACAACAGCAGCAGCAGCGCCACCGGCTCCAACTCCTACTACGACCGATGGGCTACACACAACAGGTTCCACGTCGGCGACTCACTCAGTAAGTGACTTACTTACTCATTTCCCCCCAATTCTCAAAACATCTCTTAATCATCCACCATCAACGTTAATCCCAGTCATAATCCTATTCCTCCAGATTTCGTTTACGGCAGCAAAGAATCCGACTCGGTGCTGCTAGTCAACTCCACCGCCTACTCCAACTGCACTGTTTCTGACCCAATTCTCCGATTGAACGGCGGCGGCGGCAGAGGAAATGCCACATTCCAGTTTGATCGCCCGGGGCTGTTCTACTTCATCAGCGGCCAGGCCGAGAACTGCCTTGCCGGCCAGAAGCTAGTGGTTCGGGTCATGACAGACAAAGACAAGGACGAAGAAGGACAGCATGATTATGGGCCGAGCCCGGCTCCAGGTGGGAACGACGGCGATCTAGTCTGGGACTGGCCGCCGGCCGTGAATTCAACCGTCAAGATGACCATCGCCTCTTACTTCATCACTGCTCTCGCTGGCGTCCTAGTTATCCTCTACTTGCTGATGTAGTAGCAGTTACCTTACTACTAGCAATTTGCTAACAGCTAAGTCATTTTCACTAGATTACTTGTTCAACTGCATCCAGATCCAAACTTGAACCATCTGGATTCATTCATATGCTTATATCATTATCAGCAAACACCTATAGAACCAACTTTCAAATTTGCTTCCAGGCAGAGATTACTACAGACAACTGCATCATAACTGCACAACTCTGGTTTCAACTGGAACTTGCAGTTAACAACACAAAAGTGCATAAAAGATTGGAACTTTGACAGTGGATTGAGGCTTATCATTATCAGGAACCATCTGAAATGTTCGAATTACGTTCTGGGTAGAGACCAGATTTACACTTTCAGTTCAATGCAAACACAAACACTATGTTTGAGCTCTCAGTATCTACAAGCTACCTTCCTCCAAAGCTTTGAACAACACTACAAATCAGCAACTAACTCACTCAACACAAACAACACTACTGAACTAAAGAACCAACAAGTGATTGAAAGAATCAAACAATCAAGTATAGTACAAGTCATAACTAGCAGCAGCAGTAGTGTACAGAACCTCCCAATCCCATCCCTATTCACAATCAGAGGTAATATCCTCAAGAGAAAGGCTCAGCCCACAAGAGAAAGTGAGAGTAGGCTTACTCTTAGCCAGAACCTTCACTTCAACTTCACCATTCAACATCTGAAGCACCCTCCTCATTGTCGGCCTCTCGCCGCCATCCGGATTGGCACAGCTCAACCCAACCATCAGCATCTTCTTCATCTCTTCAGTCTCAAACTGCCCCTTCAGCCGATCATCAGCAGCTTCCACCACTCTCCCTTCTCCATACAATCCCCAAACCCAATCCACCAAATTCACCATCCCCTGGCTCTCGGGCTCCCTTTCAATCGGCCTCCTCCCGCAAGCCACTTCCAGCAGCACCACCCCGTAGCTGAACACATCGGTCTTCTCCGTCGCCTTGCCGTAGTGGAGGTACTCCGGCGCCAGATACCCCATTGTCCCCGCCGTCAGAGTCGAAACAGGGCTCTTGTCGTGGTCCATCAGCCTCGCCAATCCGAAATCGCCCAATCTCGCGTTGAAATTGGCGTCCAGCATCACGTTGCTCGATTTGATGTCCCTGTGAATCACCTGCTGCTCGCACTCCTGGTGCAGATACGTCAGGGCAGAGGCTAGCCCGACGGCGACGTTTCGCCGCTGCATCCACGAGAGTGCTCCGCCGTCGTGGGGGTGGTGGAGGGCCTTGTCGAGGCTGCCGTGTGGCATGAGCTCGTAGACTAATAAGAGCTCGCCCTTTTCCACGCACCATCCAAGGAGCTGGACGAGGTTCTTGTGGCGGAGGCCGGCGATGATGGTGAGCTCGGCGAGGAACTCTTCTTTCCCTTCTTCGTGGGAGTGTCTGGACCTCTTGACGGCGGCGATTGTCCCCGTGGAGACGAAGAAGGCCTTGTAGACGTTTCCGAAAGCGCCCTTCCCGATGATTCTGCTGGAATGGAACCCTCTCGTCGCCGATTTCACCTCCCTGTAATTGAATTCCTTCGGCCGCCCGGAAGCCACCACCAGCTCTGTTTTCCCCGTAGTGGTACTACTTCCTCTCGTCCTCTGCCATTTCTTGACGGATATGTACCCGAAAATCACGAGGCACGCGCAGAAGAAGGAAGGGCCGGCGATTCCCAGCCCCAATCCGAGCTTCTTGTGGTTCTTGCTGCCGGAATCGGAAGACGGAATCTCCGGCGACGGGATGACGATCGAATTGTCGGAGACGTTGTGGGGAGGATTCGTCGATCTGGGTCTGAGCAGGGATCCTTCTCCGGTCATATTGAAGCTCCAGCTGTGAACCGAGTGGAGCTCCGTGGATCCCTCCGTCGACCCGGAGAAGCCAACGTAAACGTTCCCTTTCAGGTTGTCGGAGAGGTCGACGTCGACGGAGAGGAGAGGGATTTCCGGCTTGGAAATCGAGAAGCTCAAGAAGACATCCAAGACTTTTGCAACGTGGTCGTATTCGACCCACGCCGTGATTTGCTCGCCGCTCTTCAAATCGATCCCCTGTGAAAGGGGATCCGCCGTCTTGATCGAAATCAGGCTGTCGATGTCGAACCCGACGTGGTTCTCGCTCGGGTCGCCGAAGTGGGAATCGACCCGGGTGTCGAACTCGACGGCGACGAACTTGTTCTTGGTCAACCGGGAGGCGTTGACCAGGCCGAGGTAGCCGCCGGGGCTGCCGAGGGTCTCGTTGTCGCGGGACAGGAAGAAGGCGAGGCCGTCGCCGAAGGAGCTCGGGTTGACGTTCCCGATTGAGAAGGTGAATCTCGTGGAGAATGAAGCGGCGGACGGCGGAGCGGATTCCGGGTCGGAGAAGGGAATCGGGTCGTTGTAGATGACGGTGCCGGCGCTCGAGGTCGGGACGGTGACGTCACGGGTGAGGCCGACGACTCCGTTGCGGAGGTAGGAGTCTCCGAGGAGGGTGAAATTTCGGATGGCGAAGGCAGGGAAGTCGAATTCGAAGCTGTGGTTGCCTACTGCGCCTCCGGCGGTGGCGGAAGTGAGGAGGAGGAGGAGGAAGAAGAGGACGGAGGTGGAGGAGGAAGGAATCATCGAGTTGAGAATCTTGATCGGAGATTGAATTGGGGTTTGCTTTCTTTCTTCTGGGTAGTTGGGGATTCAAGACTGTAAAGAGAACAGTTCTTGGAAGAGGGAATCAATGGAGGAAAACAGAGCGAGTTAAGGAAAGAGAGGACTGGTGGTGGTGGGAAAATGGGGTTTAAACGGAAAGAGAAAGATGGGCGCGTCGGTGATTGAAACATATAAAAGGGGAAAAGCAACAAAGTAGCTTTGTGTAGCAAGAAACGACGGCGTTGGCTTTGAGACGGCTGGGGTTTGGATAATTGACTGGGTCTGGATATCTAATAAGTGGGCCTGATAGTTGGATCCAGTTCGGAGCTTGGACTTTACTGGGCTGGAAAGAAAGATTCAAAAGAGACCGTTATTTAAGCTTTGGTGGCGTCCTCGTCATGTTTTTGTTTGCATTAGGCACGACAACAATAAACGGCCTCTAGGCGCTGAATTCCATAACGAGGACGGCGAATTTTGGATCAGAAAGAGACGTCCTGATTGGCACAAAGCTTTAAAAAAAAAAGCTTTCAAGTTTCAAGGCCTCGTACGTAGGAAATGAAAGCATCTCCCAGGACCTGAAAGAGGCAAATATACAAATGGTTTGCAGTCCAAAGAACATGTGAGGAATTCAATAATAAAACGTAGTAGTAGAGTTTGGAATGAGAAAGGGAGAGGCCATGTCCCGTATCCAGTCCAAATCCCTTTTATCTAATGCAATCTACATCATATAGCCGTTACAGTGGCAGACAAATATAAAAACAAGCCACACCTTTGCCTTTGACTAGGAAAGGAAAGGAAGTGGGAGCTTTTCTGAGCTGAAAACTGGTCTTGCCTCCTTAAAGATAATCTACATCAACTTCATGCTGCTAAGGCACTAACAAGGCCTGCTTAGTCACTAAGCAAACTAGCGAACCTTGGTCGATCAGACACGACTGGTACAGTATTAGGCTAATTACCGCCTCAACAAAGGCCTCTTAATGATGTGGTTTGTCAACTGCTTCACAACTCTTTCACTGCCTTAACCAGGCCTTCTGCCTTCAGGTCAAAAATGACATACATCATAGATATAACCTTTGCAGACATAAACACCAGAAATCTCCAAAGACAATGAGAGTTTCATGCTGCAGCAGCAAATTGTTCTGAAGATGAAGTATTATTCACCACAAGTGGAGAAAGAAAACAGGAGAAGATAATGCTAAGAAAAGTTACCTGTAATAGCAGCGGCCACTTGCTTTTGTTGCGCTAGAGGAACAAAGGAAGTAAACATTAGACGCAATATTACTGTTATATTAGGATCTTTCTCCAGTAAGCCAGAGCTAGCATTTCTGGACTCGTTTCTCGTCTTACTGTAATGAATCATCACTTCTTTAAACTCCATTTATTCCAGTAGGGACCATCACGCTCAACTTTCCCATACTAGCACGTCCACATCTACTTCTGCCACTCATCTGATTACCAGGTCGATATTGCAAGTGCTAGTGAAAACTGAGCTTGAGGAATCTGTAAGCAGTATGGATGGGAAGTTTCATGAGATGTACAGCTGACTTCTTCATTCAAACAATGGGAACAGGCTTCAAAGTGCTTATTGGTGTCGCCACTCTCAACAGCATTTCCGTATCCAACATCTGGTAAGTCGAGATGGCCTAGTCAAGATCCCCCAGTGTTACGCAATTGACATGTAGCTCAAACATCATTGGAGAGTGGAGTATGCGGACAAGCAGATTTGAAAACTTACTCCAAACATTAGCATGACTGCATGAGTAAGGATAGTGTTGAAGCTTGGTCCAATTTCCAGGAGCAGAAGGTTACTTCGTTATCTGTTTCCACAACAAATTTCTCCATCTCTGGTACATTTTGATTAGTGGCAATCAATCCACAGAAAATCGATAAATGACTGGATATTCTGATAGACAGCAATTCCATCCCAAAACTAGAGTTTTTCATCTGCATATTGTTTTCACATTCCAGTATAAGTGAGTACGTCTGTGCTTCCGGAATATATTATGTGAGAAACCTTAGATGAAACTTGGAACTCCTCAGATAGTGATATTTGACAGCTTAACTACAGTTCTACACTTGGATTTATTTCGTACCCGAAAAAGGATGAAATGGCATGCATGTAAAGCTTGAAGGAGTAGAGCAGGGATAACTTGGTCTATCACCAATATTAATGCATCTGTGTTGAGGTGATGAAACCATGAAGATATACCTACATTTGGATTCTGAGATTCGACAATATTAGCTGATCTGTACAGCGTCGATGTAACTCACATCAACAGAGACAATCAGACAAATAGCCCTTCCCAAGATCTTGCACTGAGCCATTACTAGGCTTGTCCTGTTATCAGACCCCTTAAGGGATGACATATTCGCAGTAAGCTGTGTTGTTGTCATTATTCTGTGCCTGCTCACCATGAGGTAACTCAATGCTATGGGCAACTAAATTAGACATAGAAGTCAAAGAATCAGCCACAACTAAACTAGGAGATTCTGCCTGTTTCAGCTGGAACTGCTCCATATTTTTCTGAGCAGACAATAGTGGTGCTTTCAGACAAGGCTAGCCATTAGAATGAGTATCCAATGATTCCAGAAGCTAACTCCTCGTCCAGTCAAACTTGACAGTTGAAGTAGTCGTGATAAGCTCTTGGGCTCTGCAACTGCAATATCTGTTTTTGGTCATGCTGTAAGACTCATCCATTTTCGAAGACCCCAAAATTATCATTTGATGATTGGGACTGATGAAACCCTGATGGTTTAAGTATTCTCAAGGCATCATCTCCCATTTTCTTGCTTTGTAAGTAGATGCCTCTAATATAGGTTTCTTTGAGTCCCTCAAAAATATTGGCATGGTTGGTTTCCATTTTCCAGTTTGGCCCATCACCCTCTTTCACATGAGTCCAAGGATAATCTAGATTTACACCTTTGTCACCCTGCTGACATCAATTAGAACTCGTAGATCTTGTTCTCTCACCAAGGCACCATTACCAACCACTTCTGTTTTCCCGTTATCGGTTGAAAATTCAAACATTCATTTACCAATTCTTGTAACCTGTTGCCATTGTTAGTCTTTTCTGGGGATCTGTAAGTGGGCTGCCAGTGTCGACCAGCTTCAGCACCACTATGAATGGACTAGACACCTCCGGTATTCCTTTACAACACCAGTCTGAATAGCTCCACCCAAATGAATGATGCTACCAGCTTCTGTTGCACAAATTGTACCAGAAGCCATGGCCGGACTGGCTGATTAGACTGCTGCACTGAATAGCTAGTAGAATTTCAAGAAGCTCATAGGTAGGACTGGTTAGTTGCCATTTCTTCCCTCGGTCACCTCCAGTTCTCTCTTTGTAGAGTTTATGTTACATGGAACTAGCAGAGACAGTAGGATCAAGCATTCAAGCTCATCATTTGCATGCAGTTTTAGCAGAAATCATGTCATAAGAAACCTCTCTTTTCAAGCAGTTTCGAAGAACCTCGCGCACAACATGGGGAAAAGACTATTCATGAAGGGAATCCCTACTAACAGGGCAAAGGCTTGCTAGTAAGCTCTTCCTTCTTTAAGCCTGCCAGAAAATGAAGCAGTTTGCTCAAGATACAGGGGCAATCAAAGAGAGAAGATATCCAAATCACTACTCTGTTGACAAAGAACTATGAAATATAGAAAATACGATGCTGATCAGCCATAGCTGCTCCTTTTGAACTAGTGAATAGTGATTGGACATTGAATACTTAGTGAAACAACTGGCTTCAATCTATACCTAGAAATCAGGTGCATAACAAGGAAATTCGCACTCAGAACAGTCATAGAATTTATACTTCTAAAATCTAAAACGCTCCATTTTCAGGTTTGAATAGCCACAGAAACTCGACATGCCAAAGAAAAGAACAGTTCCCACTTGAATCTATTCTACGCCATAGCGTTTCTAAGCTATTGATACCGAGAGCTCGAAATGGAGTCCGTAATTTCTACAAGGTCGACAAAGCTGTAACTGATCATGATCTAGTAACTTGCACGGAAAATATCCAACACAAGAACAGCCGCAGCGGCAAGAACTCACCATTTGTATGAAATTAAAGGGAGGAGGAAAAGAACAATGGAGGAGGGGAGATTTCACCAAAGGAGGCATTCGGAAGCTAGATGATGAATTACTGATCGGAGAGTTCGATCTGCTACAGTCGGCACCTTCCCAAACCTTCACCAGTTTTATACCATCTCCGCCATTTGACAGCTTATAGCATACCCGTGTGATGCGGGCGGCTGAGTAAGGTGGCCGGAGAATTCGAGATGTTTGCGAGGGAAGGATGGGCACGGGGAGGGATGCAATTACGATGTGTTACTGTTACAAACTTACAGTGGTGTGAAGTTATTTCAAACTTTTGGGTGCAGGTGGTAATGTCCTGATCTGCAAGATAAAGTAAAGTAGAAGGACCAAAAGGAAAAACGTACCCAGCGAGGGGTCCGAATGAAATATTAGCCTTCCCACCAGGTAACAATGGAATTGAAATGAAACTAGCCATGAGAGCCGTCAGTAATCTTATGGTGAGTAATCATGAGTAATACGTACACATTAGCATGACATCATCACCATCTCTCTCCTAGAAAGTCTTTAATTTTTCTCTCCTTAATCTTTGACGGATGATTTCTCACTCGTTTTAAGTCGAAATTTAATTTTTTTTGCACAGTTAGATCAGATTAATTATGCTCTTCAAAATGCTATCCACTTCGATATATTTTTCGAACAAAAAAAATTGAGCCATTTTTTACCAGTCTATACCATATGGTATTGACTGGTATTGAAATAAGAGTATACCTATAGTTTGAAAAACATACCATGGTGGTATGAACAAACCAAGACTGTAAGATGGTCGAATACATGATAGTAGAAGTATATTAACTGTCATTTACGACTTTTAACATTGTATACCATAAGATACCATCTAGTACCAGGGTGGTATTATGTGGTATTGTGCGGTATTTTTTGGTCCTGTAATTTGTTCACCCAGAAAATTGTAGATCCAATAGATCATGGTGAACTCGTCCCTTCTGTGCAAACATTTTCAAAAACAAATTAAAAACGAAGAAAATACCATATAGTATGTAGTTGGTACCGAGAGGCAAGAATTTTTTTCTCAAAAAATATTGAAAATAGATCTCATTTTGTAGAGCACGATGAACTCGTTCCATCTGTGCAAAAAAAATTAAAATCTGAGTTAAAACGAAGAAGATATGAGCCAGTTAAGAAAGTTAGAAAAAATAAAAATGGTCTTTAATTCTCCATCCTTATATCTGGATTTTCTAAATGAAGGGTCCATATTTGATTATTGATGGGTGCATAACCCATGGTTATGCACCCTATCTTGAGCCATGAGAGCCCGCGGGTGTAATGTAATGTCTGTTTTATTGTAATATGATTTGTTTAGTGTGATAAGTAGATATTATATGAATACTCTACATACCTGGGGAAAAAATCATGTAAGCAAAAGGTCTTAGCAGTACTGATGATATATATATGGATAGAAAGGTCTTAGCAGTAATAACTGTCCACTTGACAAAGAACACTTAACATCTCCGGAAGGAAACCTGTCTTTTAGGAAATGCGTGAACAGAGAGGGCTCCAAAGAGCTGTGACAAGTAAATTTTTTTCGTCGTTGTCGTTTTTATAGATGGCTAATTCTAAGGTGAAATATTTGTTCTCAGCGGCTTTCAGTATCCCATCTTGCTCGTAATCTTGTCTTTCTGCGAATTCTTTGGCTGGGATTCGAAGTAATTGAACCATTGCAGTATGGTCGAACCTAATCGCTTGCTTCGATGTGAAGTCTTTGCAGTTTACCAACGCTTCATACCTGTTTAGTACGATGCATACATTAATTTATAAAGAAGGTGAAGAGTATTTTTTTTGTAGAAATTACCATGTTCCGGTGTCATTGTGGATAACTACACCACCATCGCTGATGATATAATCAACTCGGGCCAAACACCAATATCTCATCTGTGATAAGTAGTTGGTCTAAATGAGATCCTACAATGATTTGTATCAGGCATACACAATAAAATACACACCTGTGTGTTGGTCTGGTTAGATTGTAGAAAACAGAGCAGGTCGTTGAATGTAACTGTGGGTGGTAGATCTTTTCTGAAAAGCTTGGTTGGTGCAATAGGGTTGTCTTGAAGTACCTAAATAGGCAAGTGGTCGTGGAAGAAACTGGTAAATTTGTGGAATTTATTAGAAGTGGTATAATGATTAGTATACATGGAATTGAAATGTAGGGTGTGGAGAAAACCTTTCCATCATTGTCCTGTATCGGTGAGTGTATGAACCATAGAGCAGTCGTGTTGCAGGTGTACTTCTAAGAAGCAGCCGATCTGTATTGGCAAAGAAAGCATTGAGGAGTGCAGCTTATTATGTATTTAAATAATCGGGGATGGTATCTTACTGTCTGGTTCAGGTTTCGTAATTGCTATGCTTGTAAAGGTTATCAGGACTGGATGTGAAAGTTCCATGGTGTCACATAATCGATAAAAATGGTCGGAATTTGAAGTGTAGTTGATAGTGGCGGTGACATTCCTGGTTAGAGGATGGTTGATAATGTTATAAATTGTATCTTATTAGCCATGGATAAAAATACCAGCGTACAGTGGCAAACCTGGTGTTCTCTATAATTGCTGTGATGAGAACTGAGCCATTGTCCTGCTCGAGTGGTTCTGAAACGGATAGCAGGCGGCCTGTCAAATCTGAAAAGGAAGAAGAATGCTCCCGTAAGGGTAGGATGGTAAGATAGGTTGCAGAGAATTGATTACTGAAGTATTACATGCCAGATGAGTAGTCTGTATGACCATGTGCGATAAGTCTTCAAACTCTATATCTTTGAAGGCATCAACAGGGAATTTTTCTTTGAACCGAATTTCATCAATTTTTGTTAATTTAATTTCATAAGAAATATGCAGACGAATCTCACAAGGAGCAGCTCGGCCAGTTCGTTTTCCCTTAGTAAGAGTTACTGCCTTAATG